ACACACAATTATCAGACTTATTTCGAATCGTCATTATGTCCAATTATTTTGCTTTATGAATAATGCACATCGTAATTCAAGTTTGATTGTGGCTCTACTGAATGCTTTTATTAGTTCTCGTAATAATCAGTTATAACTGATAAGACGATACTAATTGAGGCGGTGTTGTGGTATCTCATAAGAGGTTAATAGTGATAATGAGCTGTGATAAATGATTCTGATTAGAACAACTCCGAAAACTTGTGCGATGATAGTAAATTATGATGAGTATCGTTTTATAATAATTTGATAAGATGATAATTATCTTAATTTGTTCGATTCATAATTATCATAACCGTATGTAGCGGATCAATTATCTGATCATATCGCAATTCAGGCTTTAAACTCAATAAATCATAAGATGATGATGATTAAAAGGAATTATAGGATGATAATAACTTAAGGCAAATGATGACACGTACACATAACTTGACGTGTGCACAACAATTTGCTTTACGTTGACGTTGAACGGAAATAAGCATGTTCGGACACTGAAAGGATGTAGTGATGGAGCAGTGGGAATTATATGTGGTTTTAATGAATGAGCACATCAATTATACTGATAACAATTAAGGTGATTTTTGAGAGTGTGCATGCAGTTGTTCGATATTTGATTGGTAGTCTGATTGGGCTTTCTGAACAAAGCGATGTGGGTTGCATGCGGGGATATGGATGGATCGATGATCGATGGTATTGTATCCAATTGACTTTTGTTGTTGTTCATCTGAATGATAATTACAGCAGCAGCAGCAGGGATAATAGCAGTGATAATAAGAACGATAATGATAACGATGGCAATGTTAGTGATAGTGATAGAAGAGAACGTTTTCAGGCTTTGGATTAGCAATTTGATCGCTATTTCAATCCTTTTATATCATGGAAAAGATGTGAATATTTTGTGCGAGAACAACACCATTCACTATCAATTGATCTTTCGAAATTCTGAAAATTTATCGACAGAATATGTAAAATATTGGAAGGATATGTTGAAAATGAATGTGGAAAAGCAGCAGCAATTAAAGAAGCGCAATTCAGGAAATTTCACAATGCGATTGCATTGGGCGTGCCTTTTTGGAATGCTCAAATTATATCTTCTCATGTAATTTGCTCAACTGATTATACGAAATGTAGCGGATTAATTATCTGTTCAGACCTATTAGCATCTCATAGATATGGCTGTTCTATCTCTTCCGCGCTCATCTCATCAATTTCGCTATATCCCCTCACTGTCTTGGCGCAGCTAACCACAAAACTGGGCGTTCCGATGCACTTAGTTATTCATATTTCTATTCACTCTCTATCTTTCCAGCGAATCATCTCTCAAAAATGTACGTAATCTTGCAGATGACTCAATCATTTCTCAGCTTTCGATCTATTCGAAAAGCATTCTCTCTTGCGTTAATTTCCTTCTCTGCATGTCATACAAATTAGAGAGTCTTTAACGATGATTACGGTAAATTTACATCAAATGAGCATGTTTAATAGGCTTTCATTAGTCGTTTATATCAGTGTGTTTTATACTGTCTATTCGCTGATGTTCGTCACATTCTACATTATTGATAATGTATAGGTGTTATTCATCTCTGTAATAATCATTGTTGTTGCTGTTAGCAAAAAAAATCAGTTATACTGATTGATAGATTATTCAATCAGTTGATTTGAGTGAATCGGTTGTTGTGGTACCTACTAGTATTGTTGACATTATCGTTGTCATTAAACCACGATTATTATTTTAATATTCAGTCAACACTAACATTTGGCTGTTTTGTACATCATTCGTGTTGTTTATTGCATTATTATCAGTCTGGTATTATTCATTCAAGAGTTTTGCGTGTTCACATTGAGCGATTTATATTCATCAACTTGAAATAAAATTAATTCGTGTTCAGCATTGAAGTGTTTGAGAGTGATAAGAGTGAACTGTACTCATAATTATTGTCATTCATATCATCGTGATTAGCACTGCTCTTGCTACTGGTATTTTATCATGATGCTGGAGCGTAAATCAGCGGCATTCTCAATAACTCAACTTCTTGCGCATACGAGAACGTCTCCGTCGAGGAATTTGGATAGTGATCGTAGTCCCGGTGATAGCATTCATCATAACGTCAGCAACAACATTATTGATTGCAACTTCAATAATCTTCTCACCTGTCCAGAGCCGGTTGATTCTAACTCTAATAAGAGATATGAGGTGAGCACCGAAAATGATGACATGGCAATTGGAGGATGCCTGAAAGGAGCGCAAATTGCCGATCAAAATAATACAGCCAAAGGCGATCAACATGAGTCGGCGGCTGAAGCTAGTGTACAGTTGCACGGAGAAAAGTTCGATTGGACGGCTGAGGTGAATGGAGAAAAATTTTGCGACGACGGAAACAAATTTCATGGCGCTTATCGTGCTGAAAGTCTTAAACACAATCGAAGCCATGCGTCGTCCGATTGCTGTTCCACTGCATCGTCCAATTGCCATCGTTGCCGATGTTGTTTTGGCACAGTAACGGAGCGTAACTGTACGCTACCGTGTGATCATGCTCCAGTGGTGCATCATTCATCATCAGATCGTGCCAATCGCGACTGGGCAAGTTTAGCTGAGAACGGGGATAGTGTCAAGAGTGGCACGGCTTCTACGAGTACTTCATCCCCGACGCATAATCAGCAAGATGATAATAGAAGTGATAAGCGATACAGCAGTTTACGCTTTGCAACTACATCAGCGGCAGTGAGCAGTCGAAATTGCCCGAGTCGAAACGGCAAACAAACAGCTCCAGTTGGGGACATAGTGAAGTTCTCAGAACGATGTCAAATCGTCGGCAGATATGAGCTTTTGGGCAAGTTTGGGGATGGAGAGAAGATCACAGAACAGGGAGTCAGCAATGAGAAGGGAGTTGGATCGTTGAGTGGGCAAATGGCGGGGAGTCGGGTAAAAGTTGAGAATGATTTGCATTGCTATGAGTTGAGCGGTGGTAGTAATAACAACAGTAAAAATGTTATTAGTATTGAGAATAGTGATACGAACAGTGTCAGTAATATGAGGGCAAATGATGACTTGCTCAATGTAAGCAGTAAACGGAGTCCGGATCTGATCGGAGTCCCAACAGCACCGAAAAGTCGTCTTATTCCGAGCCACTCTCCTTCCCCTTACTCACTGGTTTTTGCTGCGAAATCGAAAGGAGGGCTACAGTCGCTAACAGATGGTGATTACGATAACGACAAATGTACTGTAAATGGAACGAGGCACACTAATAATTCAACGATCACTCCTGCTGGCTCGCTGCCGTCCGTTTCTATCTCCAGCGCAGTTTCTGCCTCAGCAGCAGCAGCAGTTCTAACTCCAACCCCAGTCCCGTCCACAGCCCCAGGACCTGGGAGTTGTCTACCGAGTGCAGCTGATACTTTGCCGTTTTGGTTGACTTGCGCAGCTGCAAGTTTTCCATTCGAGCCAACTTTTTTGATGGCACAGCGATCAAGTTAGAGCAAAGATATTTGTTTGGTTTTGATTGATTGTTCATTCGTGATATTCCATAGAAAACAGCAGCAATACTTTGAGATGGTCAGTGAAACTTGAGGGAAATTGTATCATGAATCTTTGAAAATTGAATGATTGCTAAAAATTGAGCGTTTTCATCGATGCACACTTTTCAAATAGACCGCAAAACTTTTCCCAACTACTCGTTCGCCACTTCTACGGATCAGAAGAGAACCAAAATAGGTTAACCGAATCAAGCGGAAGTTAGCCAGAACCAGAAAAAAAAACTAGAAGAGAAAAATTAATCAGTAATAAATGCAGAGATGGTGTCAGCTTTATGAATGTGATTTCTTTATAAATATGAAATGTGTAAGTTGACTTTCAGTGTTTCCACATCTATGGGCGAGCACTGCAGCTGCAGCGAATGCGGCTGATGCATTACGCTTGGTGACAGCTGCGGGTGGCACAAGCAAATCGTATCGGAGACGAAAGGCACGAACCGTATTCTCTGATCAACAGCTACAGGGATTGGAGCGACGTTTCGAGACACAACGATACCTTTCAACACCCGAACGTATTGAACTCGCGAATGCGTTGAATTTGAGTGAAACTCAGGTGCGTTTTGAACTGATCGAATAGTGATTGTGCTGTGAACATTGAGCGAGTTTGAGAGACTCTTTTTGAGATATTGATTAAATCTATTTGTTATGCTTGTGGATATTCACAGATTAATGTGATCAATTCACGGGGTGTCTTCTTATGAGAAGTTTTCAAGCATATCATCTCTTAGAATCTTTTATCGTTTTGGAATTTTATTGAAAGTTTTATTGGTATGTTTCAAAAGTGTTTTTTCTCACTTTTGGATATCTTACTTTTTACATGGATGGTTCTGAGTGAAATTATTAAAGTGTGAGTATTGTGCGCAGACATTTAACTTAGTAGTGTATTGTATAGTGCATATGTAGTTTCAGTTAGTATTAATATGATGTGCTGTCGCATCACTTCACTTCAAATCTGAGGTTGTGAGCATATGAAAAGTTTTTAATTTGTGCTCAATTTGAGGTGAAAACGTGGTTCCAAAATCGTCGAATGAAACACAAAAAAATTGTTCGAAAGGAGCGTGATGGTGAAGGGGCGTCGAGTGAGAACGCTAATTCAACGTTGAACACCGATAATATCAGTGATGATAACAACGCTGGCGATTCCGATGAAGAGGATATGATGATGGACCACGATTTGGATGATTCGGAAATTGATTGATCGTGACGACAGAGGGTTTTCACGTTTTCGAGAGATCGGACAGCGCATAATGAATGTTACCGCTCGTGATTTTTTAGAAATTATTATTATTGATGTGTTTGGTGTTGCTCTATGTGATTATGTTTACAAGTGAGTTTAGTTATCGTTGAATGTCAGTGATCAGTTACAGTGGTGCATATTGATTTACTCGGACTATTTTCTTTTTTTTTGAAATATTACTATTGAAATTGTATTTTTATCAGTTTTATTACTATTGCCGTATACATATTTATTGTTTTATAATGTTTCGAGAATTTTTCGCTTGTTCACGATTGTCAAATGTTCTTTTTGAAAAGTGCATAAATTAGTTTCTTCCCCAAAATTTAGTGCCATTTACATTTTTCGATTGTACAATTTTTCTCTTTTACTATTGAATAAAATGCAAATTTTGTTTCGATTCGACGATCGATGAGAATTCGATGGAATATGAAAAACGTTACGGACATTTCTGATGGGATTACTTGTTTGATTTTATTTCTATTNATTTTTGATAGTATTACTTATAGTTATCATTATTGCCAAAATCATTATTATTTTCATCATAATTATTAGTGAGAATAGTCGTAATGGTGTCATATTTGTTATTGTGGTTGCTGTTTTTGGTTTGCTGTCATTTGAAAAGGTACTGATAATAAGATGATAACAGATGGAATGTGTGAGTGGATTGAATACTGTTAGAAGTGGCACGTGATGAAAAGCGATTTGTTCGCGGAAAATTTGTAGATGTTTGATGAAAAATCTTGGCTGGAAAAGGATTGTGGAAGTGAATGGTAAAAACGAATCTAATTCACTTGAAGCATCGGAATTATGCACAAAAATTTCAGACGTTCTACAGAAAATGAGGAGTGCTATTTGTTAATGTCACCACAGAAAAATCTTTATTGTTAGGAAGATTCAAATGGAGAAATTGAAAATTTTCAGTTCTTCCTTACGAGATCTTTTTTGGTTAGTATATATTCAGTGCTAACAGCTTCACCCGCACCACTTTCATTATATCAGTGTCATTATGCTGGTTGGTGTCTGTTCGCGATATTATTACTCAAAATACTCAAATTGATTCATTCCACTGTAAAATCTGCTATTTTTTACTCGTCGAAAGGAAACTCGGCACATCACTTATGGTACTACGTTAATTTGCCAAACTACTCATATTGATTTNGATTTTCTGTCACATGTTTTTTTCAGCAGTTGTGCGAAAATTCTTCATCCAGAATTTTCCATCTTCAAAATTAGTCTGTGTAAAACACCACTGAAGTTGAAATCTAAGCATAAGCATAAGTACATCGTTCAATGGCTAAACAAAATTGGATTATTGGATTTCACTTAAGTAAGATGACATCAAGACGTTCACAGTGGATAAGATGATGGTAGTTGCAATGAAATGCTATGATTGCTATTATTACTACTATATGTTCGTGTTGATTAATTAGCATTCGAATAGTAATGAACGAGTTCAATTCACAGCACTAATTACTGGAATGATAGCGATTATAATCATTGTGTCAAATGCACTTGCGCAATTCCATTTAATGTTTACAAGCAATGTTATTATCTCGCGTATTGTTTTGCTACTAGGCTTGTTTTCAATTCACTTTCATTGCTGTTTTCAATACTGTTGCTGTTTTTAGTACGAATATTACTACTATTACTAATATTATTATTGTTATTATTAATATTATTATTGTTAGTATTATTACTATTATCGATATTATTAATATTAATATTATTATTATTATTGTTATTGTTATTATTATTATTATTATTA